CTGCCATCAGCTCCCGCGTCTCACACACACGAGCGCGACTTTAGCTGATTTTTTCCATAGAATACTCATACTGACAAACCTATCGACTTTTTTGGATAAGCCTTAGCTATGGTTCAGTTGGAAGATTTTGCCAGTGCTGTCCCACGAACGCAAGGTCTGACTTTTCCCGGAGAAGTGTCCCCTCTCTCGGCGTCTGTTCTGTGCAGTGAGCGGCAGAGAAGCAGCGCACCGCAGCCGACTCGTCAATAAATGAGTACAAAACAGCGTTTCCTAGCACCTGTCGCTTACTGATTGTTTGGAATTATAAATATGAGCTTAGTTCATCTGTTAATATCACATGCACTTTTTTTTTGTTTTGTTTGTTACTCAGCGCTGCATGAGACAAAAAAGTAATATAGCCAAAACAACTGCATAGCCGCTCTTTAGTGTAGATGCATGTTGATTTTATCAGACGATGCCGCGATTATAAATGAGAGTGACTCCTGGTTAACATGTATTAAAAGGGGTTGTGTTTAGTCACTATTTAGTGTGGTATTTTTTGACAGTATTCACTCATCATGACAGTAAAATAGGGCATTATACTGCAGTATTTCCTCTCTCAATCAATAGAAAATATGGTTAACACCCAGTCATGCATGAAAAAAATTAATAAATAGACCGTCTAATTTTGAAAAATACCGTGATGTACATTTTTGGTCATACCGCCCAGCACTACTCTGCAGCCTCGTTGAGTTCATACTCGTGCTTCTGCAAACTATTTTATCTCGTGACTTGAAAGAGTTGTCTAAAGCTTAGTGATAGTGACGTTGAAGTCGTTTGAAGCTGGAGCAGTTAGTTTTTAGCCCAGCTTTAACTTTTGACTTCTGGTGAATGTATTCAGGCTTCAAAAGTTCATTTGTGAGGATTATCATGTAAGAATCAAACTTTTGTTTACTTGTTTGCCTGCGATAATCCAAAAGCCTGTTGGCTTTTTGTTGAGAAAACCCGGATGATGCAAACTTCCGGGTTGGCCTTCAAAAAAGTGCTCTATTGTACTTCATCCAGGGATTGTTCCATATTAACATTCGTGAGGTCTGCGCATCCAAATGATTTAGTTTTACTAATTTAAATATTTACTTGGGAGATCAGTGTGACTTTTCAGTTTATCAGCACGTCTGGTTTCAGTCAGGTTTTTCAAGTTCATGGGTGAATTTCATGAAACCATTCAAGCACATGTATTTCACACTAAAATAAATAATTTCATTAACATTGTTTTTTAATATTTATAAATGCATTTATTTGTATTTTTTATTTTAAAATATTCTTAAAAATATTATTTATTTAAAAAATTATATTTGCTTTTATAAAATCAATCATATTATTGTGAATTATAACATTATTTTCATGACAGTTAAACACATTTACCCCTGACAGTTTTATCACTTATGCTTTTGCATTACAAAAGTGTTGCTTCAGTTTCTGTTTTCATGCGATTGTTTGTAACGGCGAATCACAGCAAAACCGAGAGAACGAGATCGGTTGCAAGGAATGTGCTTCTTTGGAATGGGTTTGTTTACACCTCATTCTTCTTGTTGCAGATGTGCTCTAAACACGGGACAGATTTCCTGGAGTATAAATGTCGTTACTGTTGCTCTGTGGCTGTGTTCTTCTGCTTTGGGACGACGCATTTTTGCAACGCCTGTCATGATGATTTCCAGAGGATGACCAGTGTCCCAAAAGAAGAGCTGCCTCATTGTCCTGCTGGTACAACACTTAAATGCTTGAATTAAAAAAAAAAAAAAAAAAAGTCCCACCACCATTTTTGGTCTGTCTGGAACACGCGTCGTGTTGAATTAGGCCTTTGTTCCATTACAAGCTGTTATTGAAACTTCTTAAGCCAACAACATGTTGACTTCAATTTCTTTCTTCCCTCACAGGACCAAAAGGAAAACAGTTAGAAGGAAGCGAGTGTCCCCTGCATGTGGTCCATCCTCCCACCGGAGAGGAGTTCGCTCTGGGCTGCGGCGTGTGTAGAAATGCCCATACCTTCTAAACGCCAGGGTCTCGTAATGATCGCCCTCTCTCTCTCTCTCTCTATATATATATATATATTCACCCTCCTGTGGCGGCCGACTCCCGCTTCAGCGCAGCCCGAGAGCAGATACACCGGATGTCCCATTCTGAGGGGGCTGTGACGGGCCGCTGTGCTCCAGGGTGCATCCTCCCTCTCTTTAGACGCAGAAGAATGAAAAAAAAAAAAGAACTAAAAAATTACGTTGTGACGTGTTTGCATGCAGCCGTTGTAACCCTGCGGCTTGTATAAACGTTGCACACCTCCTGACCACTGAAGGGTAACAATGTATGGAGGATTTTGGGATCCGAGACCACGTGGATGGGCCATGATTTCAGCTTCTCGAATACAAATTTAAGATTCTATTGCTGTATGTAAACTGACTTTGTTTTCGTAATCCTGTACAGTATTCCTTCACTTCGGAGTGCATCATGGTTTGACGGCTAAAGATTCAAATGCTATAAGAGGACTTTAGAAAGTGACGCTGGGGGAAAATAGTGTACGATTGATCTAATCTTGTATATAATGACAGTAACCCTTCATGTGTGTATCCCGGCGTTGCTACTCTCTACACTTCAGTTTGGTTTGATATTCTGGGTTATGTTTTGAGCCAGAACTTTTAATGAAGTGCAATACTGGGCGTGCCTCCTCGCAGATGTAAACAATATGGAATGTATGTCAATAAAGCCACTGTACATTTCGATACAGTGTTGTGTTTTCCCCGGCAAGTGCGGTATCATTTCTGTAGCCAGATCGTTATGGAGGGGCTTGTCGTCTGCGGTGTCTGCCCTTTTGTCTCAATGACGTGGTATAAACCCCTTTTTTCTGTCATTTTAAAAACGAAGGTGAGTATGTTCTGCTTTTGTATTGTGAGAACACGACTCCTTGGGGCCAGTCTTCACACCAAATCAAAGGAATGTGAGGCAAAACAAGAGATATATTAGAAATTGTGGTTGTTTTGGAGGCATGTAAGAAGGAATGTTTGGGGGTGTGATAGACAGCTGCTGTAAAAGACAAAAAAATTGCAACTTGTGAATCTGCTTTGTGTTATTATCTGTGGATGGAGCTGAATGGTAATAATAAAGCGGGTTCTCTGTTCAGCAAGGTACATTACAAAAGGAGTGTCCTGTGCTTTTCTTTCGTTTCTCATTCATTCCTGAAACATGCAAGCTCGAAAATGAATCTATATAAAAGACGAATAGCAAGTTTTAGGAGCCTCAGATGGGCGGAGCTTGGCGAACCGGACGGCTTTCTAATACGGTACGTTTATTTCCTGACATACCAGTATAAATGTAAGGTTTATTTGGGTGCATTTACATTTGGCTATAGTTTATGCTTAAAACATCCACCTTTTTCTTCAACGCTGAAGTAAGCCTATGGGTGAGACTTGCTTGAGACTACAAACCAGTGTGTTCATAAATAAGATAATACATTAAAATAATATAAGACACCGATTTTCAATATCAAGCAGCAAAACGAACTGTTTTGTACAGCTAAAAATAGCTGGATGCAGCCAGACCCATAGAATTGACAGATGGCCACGCCCATTTTTACTACAAGAAAAAGGTGGATCATTAATTTAATTGGAATTTATATGCAAATAACACTGTATTTTGACATCAAAATAACATGTGTGTGCAAATATAGCTGCAAGATGTATGCCTGCTAACTATAATCCAGTAAATATATGGCTAATACACATGACTGATCATGTTGAATTCAGTTATTCAGCTTATTAGTTAAACTTCTCACACAAGCTTTACTAATCATATGTTTATGTGAGTGCATATATACGTTCATATAAATATGGTCATTGTTCTAACGTCCTCTTTCAATATTACTTGTTCAAATGTTATTTCAGTTGCTGTATTGTTCCAATACTGTCTGTTGTGTATGTTCTCTCTTCCTCTGAATGCTTCGGCGATGCAGAATGTGTTCTTGTCTGAATTCTGTGAGCATTCGTGACCCTGGAGCACAAAACTACTCATGAGTCAATGATCGATTTTTCTTTTATTCCAAAAATCATTAGGATATTAAGTAAAGATCATGTTCCATGAAGATATTTTGTAAATCTCCTACCGTAAATAGATCAACACTTTATTTTTGATTAGTTATATTGCTAAGAACTTCATTTGGACAACTTAAATGTGTTTTTTTTTCTTTATAATTTTTTTATATATATATATATATATATATATATATATATATATATACCTTGAGCTATATACCTAGATTGACCCTTATGACTTGTTTTGTGGTGGTCCAGTGTCACATTTACGTAAACTGGCGCACTTTCAGCGCATTTAAAAGCACAACAACAATAGTAACTTTGTTTATTACAGGGTCACGGATGCTGCTGTAATTGTCACGTGGTGCGTGTTACCCTTCTCCGCTCGACCAATCACAGTCGTCTGTCACTACACGGTATGTTTTTAGCGAATGCTTGGACGACTTTCTGTTAGTATGTCCCGGCCTCACAAACTAATAATTAGAATCACATATTAAAAGCGTCTACTCATAAATGTCTATCATAAGCAAAAACTGAATACTGTTCTAAGAAGTCTTTCTGAGTGAGCGCCCCCTGGAGGAAGAGTCCAGTCACAGAACAACAAGCAGCCGCCCGAACTAAGCCGCTCTCACTCACTCACTCACTCACTCACTCACTCACTCACTCACTCACTCACTCACTCACTCACTCACTCACTCACTCACTCACTCACTCACTCACTCACTCACTCACTCACTCACTCACTCACTCACTCACTCACTCACTCACCCACTCACTCACTCACTCACTCACTCACTCACACAAACACACACACACACACACACACACACACACACACACACGCTCGCCTGACTCTCAACAACAACAACAGCGCCATTTCCCGCGCAGGAGGAGGCGGGGACGCTGGTATCTCCCGCGGTCCTCAGCGCAGAAGTAGGTCAACCAGCGCTATCGGCGAGACTCCCGAGAAAACAACACATAACGACATAAATCCACCCTCGCTGGTCTCCAGTGCGTGTGCTCTGCTTCCGGTCCTGGCTGACGTTCAGACGACTTTTCAGGATTTAGCTTATTTTTCACTGTTCGCGCGCGAGCTGAGGGAGATAACATGAGCAACGCGCAAAACAGGTAATTTGGGATTACGCAGTAAGCATGTTGTTGGCTTAATCTAACTAGATCACCGTCTCTGAGACTAAATGCATGTGTGCAGTGTGTTTATTCATGGAGGATATCTCATCCACGGCAGCTCAGTTGCTCGTGAGAACTGAAAGCAGTGCTCGCTGGTCAGTCTGAGTTTAACGCGATTTCAAATTGCTTCGAACACACTTCGAGTTAAAGGTGACCCTGGAGCACAGAACCAGTCATAAGGCTCTTTTTTTATACATCATCTGAAAGCTGAATAAATGAGCTTTCCATTGATGTATGGTTTGTTAGGATATATGACAATATCTGGCCGAGATACAACTATTTGAAAATCTGGAATCTCAAAAAATCTAAATACTGAGAAAATCATCTTTAAAGCTGTGCAAATGAAGTTCTTAGCAATGCATATTACTAATCAAAAATTAAGTTTTGATATATTTACGGTAGGGAATTTACAAAATATCTTCATGGAACATGATCTTTACTTAATATCCTTATGATTTTTAGCATAAAAGAAAAATCGATAATTTTGACCCATACAATGCATCGTCTATTGCTACAAATATGCTCCTGATACTTATGACTGGTTTGTGCTCCAGGGTCACACATAGGAATTTGTTTGTAATTGCATTAAAGCAGTTTAACTTATTTCCAGGAAAGCTCAAAACCATTTAAACATAGTAAATATAGCTAAACCTGTAAAATAAACTCGTGTTCAAACGTGCTTCTCTGCATGTTTGCATCTGCCACTGTGTGTGAGTGTGAGTGTGAGTGTGTGTTTGCATTGGGCCTGTTTATACTTCACTTCTTTTACTTCACAGCTCTCTCAGGCCCCCAAGAATGAAAAGGTTGAGCAGAGACCGCGAGGACAGCCCCTCATCCTGCGAGGGGCCGGCGGACTCCTGCAAGAGAGTCAGACAGCCCGCCGAGGACCCTGGAGATCTGCTGTCCAACTGGGCTCGACTGCCACAGGAGATCCTGCTCCACATCTTCCAGTACCTGCCTCTCCTCGATCGCGCCTTCGCCTCGCTGGTCTGCCGCAGCTGGAATCAGGCCTTCCACATGCCCGAGCTGTGGAGGTGCTTTGAGTTTGAGCTCAACCAGCCTGCCAGCTCTTACCTGAAGGCCACTCATCCTGACCTAATAAAGCAAATCATAAAGAGGCACTCCAATCATTTACAGTACGTCAGCTTCAAGGTGAGAGGCTTATGAGGAACAGGACGGTTACCAGCTGGCTCCACATTACAGCTCGCAAATCAAGCTGACCTCAAAGGGATAGTTCACCCAAAAATTACATTTCTGGCTAAATTTACTGACACAAATCATGTCGCCTCAAACCTATACGAGTTTCTTTTTTTCTGCAGAGCACTGGTCATAAGGGTAATTTTTTTTGGAATTGAGATTTATACATTATCTGAACGCTGAATAAATAAGCTTTCTATTGATGTATGGTTTTTTTTAGGATACGAAAATATCTGGCCGAGATACAACTATTTGAAAATCTGGAATCTGAGGGTGCAAAAAAATCAAAATATTGAGAAAATTGCCTTTAAAGTTGTTTAAAATAAGTTCTTTGCCATGCATATTACTAATCAAATTAAGTTGAAGTAGGACATTTACAAAATGTCTTCATGGAACATGATCTTTATTTAATATCCTTATGATTTTTGGCATAAATGAAAAATCTATTATTTTGACCCATACAGTGTATTGTTGGCTATTGCTACAAATATATGACTTATGACTGGTTATGTGGTCCAGGGTCACATATATATTTTCTTTTATGTTCCACAGAAAAAAAGAAAATCATACAAGCGTAAAACAACATGATTTGGGTAAAAAAAAACAACTATGTTTTGGGAGGGTGTACTATCCCTCCCAAAAATGTATTTACATTTACATAACCAAATCATTCCAAACCTATAAGACATTTGTTTATCTTTAAAATACAAATGAAAATATTTTTAATAAAACCTGAGAGATGTTCTATCCCTTTTTTGAAAGTCCACACACAACCAAAACTTTGAAGCTTCACAAAGTACATAAAGTAATAGACGTGCATATAACGGCTATTTTACAGTAACTCTGAGCATGGCTGGTCTGAGCAGTAGTTGAGTTGCTGGAGCTGATGCGGAGCGCGTGTGATCTGTGTGCACAGGTGGACAGCAGTACAGAGTCAGCGGAGGCTGCGTGTGACATCCTGTCTCAGCTGGTCAACTGCTCTCTGAAGACCCTTGGGCTGATCTCCACTGCACGGCCCAGCTTCATGGAGCTGCCGAAGGTATCAGGACGTGTGTTATTCAGTTCACCCAAAATAGCAATTCTGTGATCATTTACTCTCACTTGATTCCAAACCTGCATGACTTTCACTCTCCAATGGAAGCCAAAAATACAAGTTGAAACAATGTCCTGACATTTTTTTTTCCCACATGGTGAAAGTAAATGGGGACGGGCGCTATTAAGTTTCAAATCGACATAACAGTACATTGAAAGTAATCCATATCACTTGTGCTTTAGGTACCAAGTCTTTCTAAGCCATTTCATGCAAAACAGAGAGTAACAAAGCAGTTTAATAATAAAGCAATTTAATTCCTTGTTCACCGAAAATCTCCCCACTCCAGAATCTGAAATAGTTTACAAAAGGACTACAAATATGGAGCATTGACCGCAAACACCATTAGGTTTGTTCACATTAAATGGATAGTTCACCCAAAAATGAAAATTATGATTTACTCACCCTCAAGCCATCCTAGGTGTATGACTTTCTTAGAGTTATATTACAAAATGTCCTGGCTCTTCCGAGCTTTATAATGGCAGTGAATGGGGGTTGAGATTATGAAGTCCAATAAAAGTGCATAAAGGTTTGGTTTATAGGTTTGGTTATGAGTTAAATGGGTTTAATATATTATGCAGCCTTGGAAAATGGTCTAATAATGCGTTTCATGGATTCTTGTCCATGGAATGCACCACTTCTGGTATTTTGCCGGTTACTCAACTAGGGATGGGTGATATGGGCTTAAAAATGTATCACAATTTCTGGTATTTAAAGATATCAATGACGAAAATTCAGGGAATTCTTTTTCTTTGTTTTTTTTTTTTTACCCAAAATAGGGTGTTGTGAGCATTACCGTATGCACACGTAATGTGATGACTCTTTAATTCATACTGGAAGCCGGAGGGCGCCCTTGCGGAGAAACTCCACATATCCATAGCAGAGAAATCCCCAATATGGACAAAGGTATCAAGTTATCGCTGTAGCGGAATAAAACGCAGATAGAGAAATTTTAACTGATGAAACTTGAAGACAATAAACATACGATTGCACAAAATATATGGTTTTAGTAATTAAAATCATTTAATTATTGTCCGTGCAGAGGCTATTCTGTTTTATTGATCTGTGGCGCATTCATTTTGATTCTTTACACGTGTAATGATGTCCAGTGACTTGTTTGCATTATTTATGCATAATTTTATTTATTTGTAAGACTTTTTTATGACTAAATTTGGTAATGGGAGAGTAAAAATATTTTTAAAACGTACACCGTTCAAACTAGGCTGCTTATGTTGAAGTGTTTGGGATGTGGCTTTTAATGATGAGACCTTTTTTGTAATCAGGCTCTCAAAAAGTATATAACAATTTGGATATAGATTTATCGGCCAACATATCGGTTATCGGCTTTCAAAAATAAAGAATTATCAGTTATCGGTATCGGCCAAAATGTTCATATCGGTGCATCCCTACTCTTTTTTTTTTTTTTCTTGCAGAGCATTAAGATATTTTGAAGAATGCTGGTAACCAAACAGTTCTGGTTTCTGATGGATTGCAATGGTAACCAACACTTGGTCAACTTTGGTTACCAGCGTTCTTGAATATGTCTTCTTTCATCATACAGGCTTAAAACAATGTGATTTGGCTAAGAAATGTCATTTTTGGGTGAACTATGCCTCCCAAAAATGACAGTTTTGGCATCATTCACTTGCCCAAATCATGCCCAAGACATTCGTTCATCTTCAAAATACTAATGAAAATATTTTAATAAAACCTGAGAGATTTCCTGTCCCTTCTTTGAAATCTTCAAATCACGAATCGATGTGATTTAAACCAAGTCTTCTGAAGAGACGATCACTTTATATGACGAACAGATTTAATTTAGGCTGTTGTTTGCATATAATCACTGATCAATGCACCTGCATAGAGCTCATCAGATATGGTAGAAATGATATACTTGTTAGATACAATGAATATGATGGGCTTAGATTAAACCACTCCATGGTTTGGTGTGGATTACTTATATGATGTCTTGATAAACTTTTTCAAGCCTTAAGGTTTTGGCTGCATGGACTTTCAATGTAGGGACGGAAATCTCTTAGGCTTTCATTAGAAATGTATCGGTGTTTCAAAGATGAATGAAAATCTCGTGGGTTTGTCATGAGGGTGAGTAAATGATGACAGAATTTTATTTTGCATTGTAAGTGCACCTAAAAAAAAAATAGGTGATATAAATACATAGATGTATTTTAGATGTGTAGACTTGCATTAATAAAAAAATCAGTAGATGTGTGTATAACGGCTATTTTACAGTAACTCCGAACACTGCTGGTCTGATCAGTAGTCGAGTTGCTGGAGCTGATGCGAAGCGCGTGTGGTCTGTGTGCACAGGTGGACAGCAGTACAGAGTCAGCGGAGGCTGCGTGTGACATCCTGTCTCAGCTGGTCAACTGCTCTCTGAAGACCCTTGGGCTGATCTCCACTGCACGGCCCAGCTTCATGGAGCTGCCGAAGGTATCAGGACGTGTGTTATTCTGGCTGAGCTGTGTGTTGGGGTGATGGGTCGGCTGGTTTCCTGATGTCTGATTGTTTCCTCTCTTCAGTCGCACTTCATCTCTGCACTAACCGTGGTGTTTGTCAACTCCAAGTCTCTTTCGTCTCTGAAAATTGACGACACGCCAGTGGACGATCCTTCGCTCAAGGTCCTGGTGGCCAACAACAGTGACACACTCAAGCTGTTAAAGATGAGCAGCTGCCCACATGTTTCTCCTGCAGGTATGAATCACTCATCTGCCGCTGGAATATGATGCTGTTTGGGGAACTGTGATTGTAGGATGTTGGCCAGTCCAGGAAATATACTCGACACCAAATTCAGTTGCTTGAGAACATTCTTTTATTTGAAAAGTTTTAGTAATTTTAATTCACAAAATTAATGATTCGATTGTAATTATTAATAATTATTTTAAATATGAATATTAATAATTTTAATTTGGAATATAGTGTTTAGTATATATTCTCAAGTAAATGTACAATTGTCTCATATTCAAATGATTAATAAGCAAAACATTTAAAATAATTGTGTGGTGACTGGTGTTTAAGTAAACATTCAGAATAAATACACAAGTGATCAAATGTAAGACAAACTGCTTAGACTATCGTTCAGTATTGTTTTAAGGAGTTAATACTTTTATTCAGAAATTATGCATTAAGGTGATCAAAAGTGGCAGAGACATTTATAACATTACAGAAAATTTTAATAAATGCCGTTCTTTTAAATTTTGTTCATTTGATAATACAGAATATTTCTTGAGCAGCAGATCAGCATTTTAGCATGATTTCTGAAGGATCATGTGACACTGAAGACCGGAGTAATGATGCTGAAAATTCTGCTTTACCATCACAGAAATAAATTACATTTAAAAAAATATTCAAGTAGAAAAGAGCTATTTAATATTGTGGAATATTATTACAGTTTAACTGTTTAATTTTAGCCTTGGTGAGCATAAAAAAAAAAAAAACTTTCCAAAACATTTAAAAATAAACGACTAACCCCAAATTTTGAACGGCAGTGTAAATTGTAGAAATAGAATAGAATCAAAATATTGTCCATTCACACTTTGGGATATAATGACCTACAATAGTTTATAGTTATGACCTCTGAAAAGTCTCACAATGTCATTTGTCTGTGACTTTTGTTACGTGTTACGTGTTCTTAGTCATGTGCTGCTAATAAATAAGGTGTGTACAGGCAGAATATGATAACGTGTGTTTACAGCTTATTGAAAAGACTGGCTGGCCAACTCAATGGGGGAAAGAAACAAAGCACCGCCTTTCTGCTCCTCATAGAGACTGTTGGAATTATTGTAATACGTGCACACCAATATTTTCACCCTTTTTGATGGTACTACAGATACAGTGAAATGATCTGTTATAAAAAATAGAAAGTAACAACACACTTTCCATGATGTTTGTTCTCATTAGTCCCTGTGGTTTTAAAGGGATAGTTCACCCAAAATAGCAATTCTGTGATCATTTACTCTCACTTGATTCCAAACCTGCATGACTTTCACTCTCCAATGGAAGCCAAAAATACAAGTTGAAACAATGTCCTGACATTTTTTTTTCCCACATGGTGAAAGTAAATGGGGACGGGCGCTATTAAGTTTCAAATCGACATAACAGTACATTGAAAGTAATCCATATCACTTGTGCTTTAGGTACCAAGTCTTTCTAAGCCATTTCATGCAAAACAGAGAGTAACAAAGCAGTTTAATAATAAAGCAATTTAATTCCTTGTTCACCGAAAATCTCCCCACTCCAGAATCTGAAATAGTTTACAAAAGGACTACAAATATGGAGCATTGACCGCAAACACCATTAGGTTTGTTCACATTAAATGGATAGTTCACCCAAAAATGAAAATTATGATTTACTCACCCTCAAGCCATCCTAGGTGTATGACTTTCTTAGAGTTATATTACAAAATGTCCTGGCTCTTCCGAGCTTTATAATGGCAGTGAATGGGGGTTGAGATTATGAAGTCCAATAAAAGTGCATAAAGGTTTGGTTTATAGGTTTGGTTATGATTTTTAAATGGGTTTAATATATTATGCAGCCTTGGAAAATAGTCTAATAATGCGTTTCATGGATTCTTGTCCATGGAATGCACCACTTCTGGTATTTTGCCGGTTACTCAACTAGGGATGGGTGATATGGGCTTAAAAATTTATCACAATAATTTCTGGTATTTAAAGATATCAATGACGAAAATTCAGGGAATTCTTTTTCTTTGTTTTTTTTTTTTTACCCAAAATAGGGTGTTGTGAGCATTACCGAATGCACACGTAATGTGATGACTCTTTAATTCATACTGGAAGCCGGAGGGCGCCCTTGCGGAGAAACTCCACATATCCATAGCAGAGAAATCCCCAATATGGACAAAGGTATCAAGTTATCGCTGTAGCGGAATAAAACGCAGATAGAGAAATTTTAACTGATGAAACTTGAAGACAATAAACATACGATTGCACAAAATATATGTTTTATCGGTGTTCTTCAATCAAACTTGGATATTTTTTTATAAGGAAAGTATATTTATAATGCAATGCTAATCGACATAGCCTTTATCCAAAATAAGTCAAACACTCAACTATGTTATTAAGTTAATTTGGAGAAAAAGCATGTCAATAAGTGATATCTTTGTTGGACAACAGGTTTGTAAACTGGCCAAACTGTATCGCACACATGCTACTGTAGTACATTTATTCAGACCGATTTTTTGTGCATTGTACAGCCCTAACCAAACCAGTTCCAGATTGTAGAATGAGCTCCTCGTTTAGCGATAAACTCCGCCATGTCGCTCTGCACAGTCGCACACAGAAATATGTCAACAACTAGACTTTATCGTTATTATCGCGGGAAGACTTCATTCTTATCTTAAGGAGAATTTTTACCGGTATATCGCAAACAACAAGATATTGCCCATTAGGGATGAAACGATTCACTCAACTCACGATTCGATTCAAGATTTTGATTTCACGATTCTCTAACAAAAAATTTAACAAAATGAGATTGAAGACATTATACAGTAAATAAGGTGGTGTTCTTTTATTGGTTCTATTGCTGCATGTTTCTTAATTCTACTGAATTTTAAAACAAACCCCAAATCAAATTAGCAAGTTACACCAAAGAAATCTTTCACCCTTGAATCCTTTCAAACATGTATGATCTTCTTCTGTGGAACATGAAAGAAGATATTTTGAAGAATGTTGATATCAGTTTTGGTGTCCATTAACATCATTGTATTGACACACACACACATCACAGAAGAAAGTCATACAGGTTTGTAGAATGACATGAGCGTGAGTAAATGATGACAGCGTTTATATTATTTTTGGATGAACCATTTCTTTAATGGCATCTTGTGGCAAATCTCCATTTAATGAGAAAATATAGCATTTCACCTTATTATTAAAACACAATAAATTATAATTATATTAAATTAGATGTTGCATCAAAAAGAGATGAAGCCCATTTAAGGAACATTAAGATTTTTGCCATAATTAAGCATTTTTTCCAATATCATCTCTTTGAGTTATTGTTTGACTTATTAATCCCATTACATACTCGTTATTGCAATAAAGTAATTGCTACAGCTCTATTGTTATTTAATCGGCATAAAGGCAGTGCAACATAATTCACTATGATCTATATATTAAAAAACTGCCAGGATCTAAATATTTTACAATATAAATCACAAAATTAAGCTTATTTGTGACATAAGTTTGCATTATTGATTTTTGAGATGTAACATAACCTGGGCTGCGTTTCCCAAAAGCGTCGTAAGCCTAAATTGATGAATGAATGCTTACAATGCTTTTGGGAAACGCAGCCCTGGATATTTTGTAAAATTTACTAATTTATCTATTTTTTTTTCTCTCTGGACATTTCCTTTATAAAACTAAATCAAGGATTGCTGTACATGGAATAACATGTATATAGTGTAAGTTACATTTTCAGGTTATTTTGCAGGACAAAAATGAGAAATTTCATCCAGAAAAGAAACTGCAACTGAAAGCGGTTTTATTTAGATGCAGATATTCATTATTCATGCATTTAGATGAATAGGCTCTTTGTTGACATTCTCAGCAGATGCTTCACTATTTCTTAGTCCCGCTGTGTATCTTTCTTCAGTGGCTCAACATTTAAGCAACTAACCATCCATTTTCCCAAATGCTTGTCCACAGGGATGTTGGAGCCCATCCCAGCGTTTTGATTAATCCGACCAATCAGAAGGCTACATTGTGTAGCAGGTTCTCACTAGGAACCTTCAGCAGCTCCTCCTAGTGGCATGAAAAGTCATGACACTAGTGAGAGTGGTTGTCCCTTGCCAACTAGTGGCCTCTCACGGTGTTCACCAACCAACACAGATTTAAAAAAATAAAAGAGGTGCACAACCATCAGGGTTGGGCTTTTGGTTTATGTAGATAGATGATTAACTATATTTTATGTGATTCAAACATTTTGTAATATAACAGGTTTGGTATTGCAGTGCTTTTGTACAAAGATGTATTGTGAATAATATGCACCTTATATATACCACATTGAAATCTCTCTTTCTGGTGGTTTAGTTGCTCATATTTTGGTGTAGCAGGGAAGAGGGCGCAGAATAATAAAACAGCATATTTTCAAGGTCTCAGGTATGTCAGAGAGGAAGGAAACGAAAGGATCAGTGTTCAGCTCACAGCACACCTGTGTCCTCAGATTTGGAAGAATATAGTAAAAACATCTTAGGGATACAATGAAGCGTTGATTGGTTTCTATTAGATTGCATGAAGAATGTTGGGCAATGACAAATTGAATGGGATACGACCATATAATGAATGAATTAGTCTGGATATGTACGCAACGCAGCCCCTTCGTTTCAGTTCAATATGATTCAATATTGGAGTGAAGCAGTGAAAACATTTTCCTTTAAGAAGGAAGTCCCATGTGTCTGTATATAAAATGCTGTGTGTTTGATATAAATAGAAATACTTATTTCTCACGCACCCTCTGTGGAGGTTTGAAGTGTTTCTGTGCTGATCTCTTTCAGATGAGTGGGAATTACTCCTCTTGATGGATCTTTGTACCCTTGTAATTAGATTTGATCAGTGTAATTTATTGATATACTTTTTATTATAATTATTAATCGGCTTATATTGATAGTTAAGATTTGAGGGAGAGGCTCCTTGTCGATTTATATGCATATTATATCATTAGTCAATGATAGAAAAATGTACAAATAGCATCAAACCCAGTGCTTGTGTGTTTGATTTTTTTTCTGAAGCAAGTGAGCATATTGCTTGTATTGCGAATATGAAAGCATCACATTTCTTGTTTGTGTTGTTGTAAAAACATGCACATTGTCTTTTATTGAAATAAGGGCGAATAAACATTGTGAGAAAAATTGTGGGGCTGTTTTACAGATCATTTACATTAAGGCAACAATATTACAGCAACAACAATAAAACATTAAAAATGATTTTTTTGCATTAGTATAAATTAACAACACTTTATCTGATCAATCTGACATCAGCTGGAATGGAAATAGACAATTTTAAATGTAATTTTATTTAGTAGCAAAAATAATTTGAGGGTGATCATTTACATTAAGGCAACAATATTACAGCAACAACAATAAAACATTAAAAATGATTTTTTTTGCATTAGTATAAATTAACAACACTTTATCTGATCAATCTGACATCAGCTGGAATGGAAATAGACAATTTTAAATGTAATTTTATTTAGTAGCAAAAATAATTTGAGGGTTTTTTTATATCGTTTAGGCTAAAACAATATGGAGGTTATGGTAAAGGAATCTCCTCATAGGTTATTTTAACGTAAGGATATTTCATCGGCAGCTTCCAATATTCAGAGTTGTAGTAGAAGTAGAAGGTCTTCTCTAGGACCATCTTTTCAAAAGCCTCCAACAAGCTCTCAATCATTTCTACGACTGACTGGTGAGAGCGGAACGAGTGGTAGAACTTCTTGATGTCTGTGGCGAGATCTTTCGTGGAAGACTGTTGAAAGATGGAGTCGTCTCCCAAATAGAGCGGCTCTCCGCTGTACAGATAGATCTTGGTGTAACATGTTGGCGCTTGGCTGGACAGTTCGGCACCCATATCCAGTAACGTCTTATACGTGCGGTGCACAAACTGAGAACAGTCGTAGGACTCAAACCACGTGGTGGAGTTTGCACCAGGATCTGACTTCACCGTCCAAGTCTCGTAATAAACACCCGTTTCATTGTCCTCCTGAACCCAGCGAGCCATCTCATTAAACATCTCGCCTAATAAAAATAAAATCGTAATGAAACCGAAAACACAGGGCGGCATGTTTGAGAGCTTCAGGCTGCTCCAGCATTCTTAATTCGTTGTTCACCAGAAATTCTGTTTTAAAGTCTGCTTGTGTCAACATCACCAATGTAATGTTATCTAGCTAGCGGACATGAATGTTTCTTATAGTATTGTTTTATACATTTAGGTGAAAGATATTAAATATAGAAGAGTAAGTAGAAGTAGAAGAGTTTACGATTACAAAATTACCACAATTAATGCTTTTACTACTCTTTCTGTAATTTATTTCTATTTTTGGGCAAAAACATTTGGAAAAAATGTTTAAAAATTATTTACTTTGTTCCCCCCCCCCCCCTTTTCTAAAAATAAAAATTGTATATAAAATAA